TGTGTCCTGTGGATCAGAAATGAGGAGGGGCTTTGGGAAGCTTGTCTGAGAATTTGGGGGCTCGGGGTAAAGTCCCTGTCAGTAGCTGCCCTGGGGTCGGGGGGAAGATGGACAGGAAGACAGCCAGGCCAGGTGTCTGCTCCTCACAATGAGACAGAGGTTACTGTGGGATCACACAGGCAGCTATTTTGGAAACATAAGGTTGTTGTGTATCAAGTTGTTTGGATTTTCTGTAATTAGGTCCTTCCTGTTCTCTCTTATTGTTTAATACGTTTTTAAAATGCTAGTCTGGTCAGCTGTGCTAAGAGGAACCAAGAAAGAGGTTTTTGTCGTTTGAACCAGAGTTTTAAAGGGGAAGCAGCGTACCAGCTGCCTGACAGTGGGGACGACAGAGTGGTGTTGCCCAAGTGAGGGAACCTCAGGGGGCAGGCAAACGGAGGGCCACTGGGTTGGAAACTCTCCCCACGCAGAGATGAGTTTAGTAAATCTGAGTCTCTCCTTCCATCCCAAGGTCTGTTACTCCCTCGTGGACCAGACAAGAGGCCAAAAGGGACCTCAATGCACAATGAGAAGGAAAACTGAACAGGGATTGGTGGTCCGGGGCTGGCGCAGGTGGGTAATGATGGAGTTTGCTCCCAAGAGTGGAGCCAGCAAACAGAAAACCTGGTCTTAGTCGGGAGAGGGGGTTCAACTGGAGCCTGAACTGCTAGGTGCTGCATACGCAGGCAGGCAGGTAACCAAATCATCTTTCTTCTCGTTAATGAAAGAGAGAGGACACACAGAGACTGCAAAAGACATCTAGGAAGGGGATGAGTGAGGATGAGTGGGTGAGCATGGCCGGTTAGGCACACTGGGGCACAGGGTAGAGCTTAGCTAGATAGCTGGGACCTACAGCAGAGATGGGGCAGGATCAGGGGTCAGGAAGGGCTGCCGCTTGTGGATATGTGAGGTCGGGGAACTACCCAGACACTGTGGCCACGACACTTGGAAGACTTGTGTCATTCCAGACCCCACCCAGGTCTGGTTCTCTGGGGCTGCTGCTCAGCTGGGCAGAGCTGGGAGTGGGCAGCCACTGTCCCTGCCAACATCCCAGGCTCAGCCCTCCCCTCACAATCTGTTCCAATTACCTAAAACTGAGTAACCCACTACGCCAAAAACAACAATCCTGCATTTTGCATTTCGGGCAGGGCAAGGAGGGATCACTCTGCTCCATGTGTCTACGACCCATGACTCAAATGGCTGGGTCACTGGAGGGCCAACCAGGCATCTCTCCTCCTGCTGGCTGGAGGCATCTCTCTGTGGTCTCTCCCGGGTCCTCTCCAGCACGGAAGTCCCAGTGTACCTGACTGCGTAGTGGCTCAGGGCTCTAAGAGCAATGAGTTCCAGAGGCCCAGGCTAAAAGTTGCAAGACATTTGTCATCCAGCTTCAGAAGTGCCAGGATATGGTGATTTCAGCCATATTCTATTGATTTAACAAATCACTAAATCCAGCACAAATTCAAAGGAAGAAGCTACAGATCTCACCTCTCCACAGGAGTGTCCAAGAACTTGCCACCATTTTTTAAAAATATATATTTTATTGATTTTTTACAGAGAGGAAGGGAGAGGGAGAGAGAGTTAGAAACATCAATGAGAGAGAAGTATCGATCAGCAGCCTCCTGCACACCCCCTACTGGGGATGTGCCTGCAACCAAGGTACATGCCCTTGACTCGAATCAAACCTGGGACCCTTGAGCCCGCAGGCTGACGCTCTATCCAATGAGCCAAACCGGTTAGGGCGTCAAAAAAAACAAGTCCTTCGGTTGATCACCTACCCCCCCAATCCTCCCCAGGGTTCCCACTGTAGTTTGACATTCTGCTCAATGCTGCTCTGCCTCTGTATCCATTTTTGTTCATCAGTCTATAATGGTCCTTATTATCCATAAGTGAGTGAGTTATTGTGATATTTTCCTCAGCTTCCCAGGGGCCATTTCAGTCTCACAGGGTCCATCTCAGCCTCACAGGGGCTGCCTCAACCTCACTGGAGCCTTTGCAAGCTCACCGGGGCCGTCTCTTTGCCACCATTTTTAATGCATCACAGCATCTCACCGAGTCCTTAGCAGAGTCCCCCAGCTGAGTTCCCTGTCCCCAGACTCTCCTTGATGGCAGCTGGGAGGCAGCAATGCCCAGGGGAGATGACGGGAGGCTTTCTGAGGCCTGCATTCTGGTCCAGGCAGGATCCACCACTCAGCAACTGGTTGGGCTTGTCAGGCTACTACTTACCTGGTGGAGCTGTGGTTTCCTGGTGTGTAAAATGGGAATGCTACTACTACGGAGGCCAAGGAAATGCGCTGCTCAGATTTTCCAGTGCAGAGCATAACTGCCCAGATGCTGAGCTCTGAAATCTGTCCTCTGATAGTCATCGCTTGGTGCCCAGGCCAGTTTCCTAGGACTGCTCCTAGCCCACGACTAAGTACGAGAGGCCTGGAAAGTGCTGGGCTCCTGAGATAGGCCAGTTTGGCGCATGGACCCTCCAGGGCCTTGCTGAACTTTCTTAGAGTTGCACTGCCGTACAAGATGCTTCCTTCCATCCAGCCTTCCTTCCTTGCCTCTCTCCTTCACAAGGATCACATCTGCATCCCAGGTCCAGCTCTCTGTCCATTTCCCTCCTAAGTCCCCTGCACAGTGCTCCTGGCTGGCACTGCTTTTGAAGGACGGGGACAAACAGCTACAAGTTCACAAGGCTGCCGTGGATATTAAATATGTGGGTGTATGTAAGCACCTAGCCAAGGCCTGGCATATAGTTGACATTCATTCCACTGATATTTATTGAGTCCCTGCAGTGTGCAGACTTTAGCCCAGGTGCCTGGGAGATAATGGTGAGCAAAGCTGATGTCAACGTCAGGGCCACCTGCTTGAAACTTCCTGATGACTCCCACGGCTGAGAGATAAAGTCCCAACTCTTCTATGGGACACAAAGAGCCCTTCAAAGTCTGACCCTGAGGCTTCTCAACACCTCCCACGCCACCTGCTGCTCCCCTGGGCCTATCATCAAAAGGACCTTCTTTCTTTCCTCCTACCATCTTGCTCTTTCACCCTCAATGTCTTAGCACATCTTCCTTCTCATTGGAATGCCTCTTCCTTCTTTCGCACACACCCCTCAGGTGACAACCCTGACACATCCCCAAAACCCAGTTCAACTGTGAGGCCCCAGGTCACAGGACAGAACGTGCTTGTTGCACAGGTCTCAGCACTCACCTGTCGGTTACACTGCGCCACAATGTGTAACAGTGTCCCTGCCACCCTGTGAGCTTGCCTAGAGCAGGGGCAAGGTTGTATCCATCCTGAATGCCCAGTGCTTGGCACTTGGTAGGCCTGCAGTACATATGCGCAGAGTGGGTGTGTGAATGAGCCCAGGAGGACTTTAAAATATATATATTATTGATTTTAGAGAGGAAGAGAGAAAGAGGGAAACATCAATGATGAGAGAGAATCACGCCCCCTATTGGGGATCGAGCCCGCAACCCAGGCATGCGCCCTTGGCTAGAATCAAACCTGGGACCCTTCAGCCTGCAGACCCATCCTCTATCCACTGAGCTAAACCAGCAAGGGCAAGAGTTTTCTTAAATAGGAAATTTACACAGAAAAAGCATACTCTCCCAAATCTCTTTTGCTTTCTCACAGACGATACATAGCTATGTGCCGGGAGAAACAGCCCACGGTGCCAGAGTCTCTGGCCGACTATATCACAGCAGCATATGTGGAGATGAGGCGAGAGGCTTGGGCTAGTAAGGACGCCACCTATACTTCTGCCAGGACTCTGCTGGCTATTCTGCGACTATCCACTGCTCTGGTGAGTGCCCAGTTCCTATTCTGCTGGAGGGTTATCTGTTTTGACTATTACTGGGCAGCCTGCAGTAACATTGTCCTTTCTCACTGCCTCCTCCCTTCCACTCAGGCCCTGCTGGGGCTAAAGTGCTGACAGTGCAGCTCCTGAGCCTTGTGCAGGGAAGAGCTGCGCCTCTGCAAACCCTCCGATTACAGCCCTCCTTTCTTTCTTGTCTTCCCAGGGTTGGGAGGTAGGGGTTAAAGACGGATGGAGAGGCATGGAAATGACTGTGTTCCCTTTGTAACAATAAGTAAGACTGTGGATCTTCTAGACTAGAGTCTAGAGACTCTAGACGTTTAAAAAAGCTTTCACTTATATTCTGTCATTTGCATCCCCCGCCCTGCCCTCCCTTCACCCTCATCTCTGTTGAGCCCAAACTCATTTCCCTCTCACTTGATGAAAAAAAACAAAACAAAACTAAATGAAAGTCACCACAAAAGAGGCAAGTTTGTTGGCTGCCTTCGGTGGCCTTTGAAGTGGTGAGGGGCTGCGGGTGAGAAGGGGTGTGTAGCCTATTGTGTTCTTGCCTCCTTGGGCTGGGCAGGCCAGGCCTCTGGGCTGGGTGACATTTCAGTCCATCCAAGTCTGTACTACCCACCTGCTTAGCAGCGCGGTGTCTACAGTCTGTGTTGCTTTGTCTCATCATTGATTCTTGCTCTTCTCAAACAGCCGTAAGCTGCAGGCAAAGATGCATTTATTGATTCTTCAAAGAACCTGAATCTGTCTCTTCCCCTAGATGAGTGGACTGGAGAGAGTCATTTCAGAAGACTTCTCCAACATTTGCCCTCTCCAGCGGTCATTTCTTCTGCCCTTCCACCCACACCCACCAATCTATGTGGAAAGAGGAACAAGAAAGAGTTACTGCCGATCACTTTTTCCTTAAAAACACACACACAAAAAAACGTTGGAGTGGCCTTTCTTGTTAGCACCCATAACTGTGTGCTTAATTTCCCCCACTGGTTGGCACTTGCTGCTGGCTGGATAAACATGCCAGGCATCGTTTAGTTTGATCACTGCACTTACTCCCTGTTAGTAAAGTGGTCTCATTCCAGGTGGCAAATCCTTTCATCGTGGATTCCAAAAGCCATCAAATACTTAAAACCTGGCAGTTAAAAACAACTTGAAAAAAAGAAAACACCAAAGGAACGCATAATTTAATATTTTCTAGGTTCACATTGCCAAGGGGAGGTGAAGCCCATGGTCTGAGCTTAAAGATCATTGTTTTCCTGAGCACCCAAGTTCCAGGGAAAAACTGAACGGAATGTTCTTCACTCCTGTCCACCTGAAAACCCGTGGCCAGATTGTGTAAGGATGTACACTCTTGCTTGGGTGACTAGAGTTAAGCCATCCAATTATAGTCAATATATGAATTTTCTTATGAGGCTGTTTCAGGAGACCCTGTGAGACCAGTGACCTCCCCCGTGCCTCAGGTATCACCAGCCCTCAGATACTCTGTGGGTCTATACTTCAACGGGCCAGGGGTCACTGTAAGGGATCTTGGCTAGGGCTTGAGTTTGCATTGCTATTTGGTGATTGGCTTTTTGCATGGTTTTTCTCCATGGGGATTGGGCTCTAATCCAACTAATAAATTATAGCACAGGGCAAGTGGGATTGCCCAACTCCATTAAGGAACACTTCACAATGTGGTGTGTGAAACCAAACGACAGGGCTGGTTCAGGGGTCAGATAGGGAGATATTCTAAGTCAACCAGAGGTTTCATGTTCCCGTTAATACCTTTCTGCTCTCCTGGATCACCTGTAGGGTGGTAGCATGGGATAGTGAGAAAGGGTAAGGAGTCTGCAGGTCAACATCCTGGGCATGAAGCCAGTGTTCTAGCTGACGATCTTCTGCTAGATCGGTGCTTAACCTTTCTTGATTCTTGATGTCAGCATCTATAAATGGGGCTACTAATGATCTGCCTAAATAGAAGGTTATAATAATTCTTAAGGAACATTAGTATAATTTTCATGGGCTAGAATTAGTGCTTTGTGCCTGAGAACAGCTTTATCTTTTGTTAGCATCCGCGTAATGCAAAGAAAAAATACCTGAGATTTCAAGTCAGACACCTGTGCTCAAATCCTAGCCTTGCCACTTACAAGTTTTTTGTCTTTGGGCAAGTTACTTAACTTCCCCGAGCTCCAGTGTCGTTACCTGGAAAAGCAAAAGATGTTCGCTTTTCCTTAGGAAGGGCCTCCTCACATTGATAAGCTACCCACGGACCGTGGACTGGCCTCTGTGTCTGCTGTGAGGCCGAGTGAGGCCATCTGTGCAGAGCGCCCGGCAGAGTCTCTGGCACAGCACAGGTGCTCCGTTACGGCCGCGTCATTATTTCCAATAGTATTGTTCTGGAACAGTTCATTCATAACTTAGCTTTAATGTAGTGGTAATATAATCCACCCTGACAGTCCCAGCTCTTCGTGGTTTCATTTGAAAACTCTCCATGCTCTGGCTTGTCTACATCAAAAGAGAAGAGATGCAAGGGATGAAGTTCTAATAAGTAGGTTTGTTTGACTAATTGTGAGACGCTGAGTAACATCATTCCTATCAGAAGAATTTGCCTTACGTGATCGTTTTCCTCCAGTCCTTTGGTGACCAGAGACTACTGAATGGGATTTTCACTTTGGCAGTGCATGGAATGGAAGGAACCAAAACTAGTTGACCTCATTGGCTTGTATTGGGCAAACCCTCTAGCTGTTTCTGCTTCACTTCTCTCATTTGCCAAAGAGGCAGACTGAGGCTTTCCTCCTGGTCTGCCCACTCTCGCTTCCTGGGGGATATTCTGAGCATTAAGCAGGCCTCTATCAAGCCTTTTTACCCCCTGGAGGCAGTTTTGCACACACCTGGCAATCTCTTTTCCTCTGTAGAGCCTAGAAGGGCAGGGCGTTATGTAACATTTCATTTCATTTGCTAACCCCACTGATTGTCCTGGCACCCAACACAGTACCTGGTATAGAGTAGGTGCACAATGAATGCCTGTTGCCTCCCTATTGATTGTTTTTAGTTGAAAGAACAGTGTCCCGAGAATCAGCAGAATGTGGTTAAAATTCCTTTTTCTGTCACTAACAAACACTTGGATTAAATTGAACAAGCCAAGTGCAAATGATCAACCCTTCAAAAGCTCCGTTTCCTCATTTTGAACATTGGGGGTAATAAGAATAGCTCCCTTAGGGTTGTGGTAAGAAGGAAATAAAGTAATTGATAGAAAGCATCTAGCATAGTCCCTTCCACAGTGCCTGAATATTAACAACTATTATTGTTTCTGGTTATTTTTTTCTCATCTAGAAACTGAAGCTTATATAGTAGATAAGGTTCCTTCTTGCTCCAAAACTCTGCGATTCTATGAGATGGACATGTGACCTTTGCTTGATTGCAGCTCAGACTATTAAATTTGGCCTTGGACCGGCTGACCATTTAAACATTTCCTAGAAATGAGGGTGCAGAGCCAGCCAAAGTCAGGGCTGGCCAATAGGAGGTGGTCTGGCAAGGGAACCAATGCGAGGCAAAGAGATGGTTCACGTTTTGCTTCCTACAGGCCAAGGAAGGAAGACAGCGTTAGGTCTCGGGGATAAGATGAGCACTTACCCTTTGCCCAAACCTGAGTCTCTGAGCAAGTGAGTCACAGCTGGCCTCTTGGGAACCATAGCAACTGTGAAGCTTCTGCTGATGGCAAACTGCAGCTCGTGAGCCACATGCGGCTCTTTGGTCCCTTGAATGTGGCTCTTCCACAAAATACCATGTGCGGGCGCGCACGTACAGTTCGATTGAAACTTTGTGGCCCATGCGCAGAAGTCGGTATTTTGTGGAAATTTAACCAAATAGCATCGATGGGTGAATACGTACAGGTCTTCTTTTTAAAAGTCAAATTAGTAAAATAGCTTCGTTGTTGTTTATGTAAAGACAATCAACTAAATATAATCCTAAAGGGCTCTCGCATATCTACCTCATCACCCAAGTGGCCTTTTCACAGAGTTACACAGACTTAGAATCTTAGAATAAGAAAAAAACCTTTAGATATCACTTAATCTGTTATGTTATAGTCAAAGAAACTGTGTTCATTTTTAAATGGATGATAGTAGGCATCCAGTTGCCTTTACATTTATATGACACTAGAAACGTAGATAAATGACTTGTGGAAAGCCACATGGAAAGGAAGGGGCAGGGTTAGGTGTGCAAGCTGGGTCTCTTAATTCACATTCCCCTTCCCGAGGATGACCACATACCTCACTGCCAGCGACAGTCCTGGTTTATTTATACCTGTTGTCCTGGTGTGATTACCAGCACCTCTTTCCTTACAAAAAATTCCTGGTTTGGCCTGCTGGTGTGGTGTGGCTCAGAGGTTGAGTGTTTTCCTATGAACCAGGAGGTCAAGTGCCGGGGTTCTTGTTCCAGCATCTAGAAGGGTTCAGGAATCTGGAGAAGGCTGTGTGTAGATTAAGTAAGAGTCCAGAGACGAAGCATAATTTTGAAAGGCATTAGGGGGTGAGAGGAGCCTAGCTGAAGGAGCTAAGTTCTAAGATCAAAGGTCTTAAGGTCTAAGGTCTAAAGCCAGGGGTGGGCAAACTTTTTGACTCGAGGGCCACAATGGGTTCTTAAGCTGGACAGGCAGGAACAAAAGCATGGATGGAGTGTTTGTGTGAACTAATATAAATTCAAAGTAAACATCATTACATAAAAGGGTACGGTCTTTTTTTTTTTTTTTTTTAGTTTTATTCATTTCAAACTGGCTGGATCCGGATCTGCCATAGTTTGCCCACGGCTGGAAGGTCTCCTTGTCCCAGGACCCCATGCTTTTTATTAACACAACTTGTCCTGAGGCGAGGCAAAGATACACACTTCAAAGAGTCAGGGTTTCCTACAGAGTCCATTGTCAGAATGGGGAGAATTAGCCTATGGCTGTTCAGGTATTTGGCCAGTAGGAGGCAATAACACGTAGATTAAGATGCCCTTGCTCTAGCCGGTGGACT